TCAGGGACGTCGCTTAGCAAGGCCCACCGAAGGGTTATTGAATTATCCGGGGTGTGATACTGTTTCTGTTTATTTTGAGCGTTTCAAAAATAACTTTGATATAATTCACATCATACACAATGCACTCATTTAAAGTGTTTTCAAAGCTGGGCACCCATCAACACAGTCCATTTCAGAGCATTGTCATCGCCCCAGAAAGAACCTGTCAGCAGTCCCTCCCCCCTCTCTGACTCAGCAGGCCTTTCCCACAGCGAGTCTTGTTCAAACCAGCCATCTCTACCAACTTAGTGGTTGCCTCATTAACAACTTGAGTAGTTTCAACAACTAAGTATAGTTTTACTACAGCTTTTATGGCTCGCATAGGAGTATCTCGGATGGACACCTGGTAACATAATTCCCATTGTTGGATTCTTAGCTGCCTTCCAACTTTCTGACATTATATATAATGCTGTTTTAAACATCTCCCATGCCGCATTTTTATGCACATCTCTGGTCATTTTCTCTTAATTAATTGTTGAGTGCGGAATTGCTGGTGTGCAAAATGACAAGTTTCTAGGCAGACAACAATGAGATGTTATTCCCTTTTGTGTGCCTTTTCCCCCCTCTTTTGCTGGTCTCGATCACTGTCCTTAAGCGCTTGCCGGTTCTGTTTTCTAGTTTCTGTTTCTGTGCACCCAGCAGCCTGAGTCTCAGAACCGTACGAAATACCTATGGACGTACCGAATGACAGAACACATTCAATTCTAAATATGTACTAAGGTTATTTTTTTAGGGTGATGATTTGGAAATCACTTTGGGATCTTGTAGCCTGTTACTAGGAACATCATCTTTAAAGTCATATTTTTAGTTAATGCACGAATGATTGAAGAAATTAGAAAAGAGAGGTGAACGAAAGGAAAGAAAAGTGAAATGAAATCTTCTTAGACACCATCTCAGACACCATCCCTCCACCGCTTTGGTCTGTATCCTTAGCACACTCTTCCCCATGAGGGCAAAAAAAAAGCACATGCACATCTTTTAAAATCAGCAGGTGGCTCTCCATGACGATTATTGTCAAGTGTAAGTTTTTAAAACACGTGTGCAAGTGTAGATTAAAACGCAGTTTGGTCTTAAAATTCTGAATCACAACTCATAGTTATAAGCACTGACTGCCTGTGGTGCCTGGCGGGCTGATTGGAAGTGCCCTGTGTTTGTTCCACGGGGCTGATTTTTTTCGTTGCCTCCCCACTGCTCTCCGCGCCTTGTGTCCTTCTTTGTATGAAAACTCTCCTGGCCCCTTTATGTTAGGTCTCTCCAGTTGCTCCCCTTGTTCCCCGTGCTCCCCATGGGCATCGGGATCCCTTGGACACCTTCACATTTCCTTTCTGGAAATTTCTGGCCTCATTGCCTTGTAATTATGTTGTGTTCCACCTCCCTGATGCTTTATTGGTTCCCAACATATTGGATAAAAGGGAGGTAATTAGTGGATTATGGCTTCTTTTAAGTTGTTCTCCAAGATAAGCAGAGGGAAATGCTGCTACGTGGGTAAAAATTTACATCACAATGTGAACAGATTTTGTCGCCTAAGCCCCATGTAATCTGAAGAAAATGAAAGCATTTTATTTATGGAAACTTGGTTCATGTATTTATCGCTAAGAATTAAAAATCACCATGGCTTTGTGGTCGCCCTATAATTTTAGAAGCAATGCTGTACTGTTTTTTGGTTAATCCTCACCCAAGGATATTTTTTCCATTGATTTTTTTGAGAGCGTGGAAGAGAAGGGAGGGAGGGGGAAGGAGAGAAAGAGAGAGTGAGAGAGACACATTGACCAGTTGTCTCCCGCATGCACCCCAACCCGACCAGGGCAGGAAGAACCTACAACCCAGGTATGTGCCCTTGACCAGAAATTGAACCCTCGACCCTTCAGTGTGAGGGCTGATGCTCTGACCACTGAGCACACCGGCCAGGGCCCATGTTCACTTTCGGGATGCCCCGCATTTGTAACTAAGCGTTAACATCCTTCTTTCAATTCTGAGACAGTCCCCACCCCCATCCCATCATCGACTGAAATAAAACCAAACCAGGACATTACGGATGGAACACTTTTCCCCTCACACACCCACAGGAGCTTGGCAATCACGTGACTAAAACAAATAAAATAGACATCACACTGGATTCTGAAATGAGAGTGTTTACGACAACATTTGGAACAACTTCATAATTTCCTTCTGTGAAGCATGACCCAAGGTAGTACTTTCTTGGTAGATATGAATCACATTTCTTTCCATCAGAGCGTGATTTTCCTCTGACCTCCTACCTGCCCCGTGGTTTGCATGAGGCGGCCAGGCCTGTTTTCATAATTTCACATCGATGTTGCTGCAGACTGCCCTATGGCCGTCCCAACGAGGTGGGAAACCTCCCCGGACTTGTATCCTCCGTCGGCCTGGCCAAGGGCGTCCTTTCTGCCACAGGCCTTCCGTGAACTGGAGGCTGGAGTAAGAGCCCTTCCCTGGACTCACAGCCCACAGGCCAGGCTTCCTTCTTGACCGTGAAGTTATCTATTTGTGACTCTCTTCTCAACTAGACTCAATGCTCGTGGGGCAATCTGAGCCGAGTTGATCTTGACCATCACCAGGGCCTATTGCCATAGGTGGGATGTAGCTGCTGTCAGTAACTATTTGTTGACCAGAATTTAAATATTTTTTATTGATTTTTTTTTTTTGAGAGAGAGAGAGAGGAGGGAGAGAGGGAGGGATGGAGGGGAGGGATGGAGAAAGAGAGAAAAAAATTGAGGTGAGGGCACAATTTAAATATTTTTTATTGATTGTTTTTTTGAGAGAGAGAGAGAGGGGGAGGGAGGGATGGAGAGAGAGAGAAAAAAATTGAGGTGAGGGCGCAACATCGATTGGCTGCCTCCTGCACCTACCCCCCACCTCCCCACCCCCTGGGATCAAGCCTGCAACCTGGGTATGTGCCCTGATTGGGACTTGAACCAGCAGCCTTTCGGTGCAGGGGACAGCACCCAACCGACGGAGCCACACTGGCCAGGGCTGTTGGCCAGAACTGAACCGAACCGAAAGTTTTCTACCCGTTGCCTCTGTTTCTTTCCTGCCACCCTGCATTGTGTTCCTCTGATTTTACCACTGCCAAACCATGACCTCTGTGTGACATGACCCTCCAGTCCCTGACCCAACAGACTAGCCTCAGTCACCTTCCTCGGACTTCTTGTGAGGGGGGCACTGTGGAAACGGCTCCCTCCTGGAAACGCTCCCGCCTTCAGGTTTCAGGCTCCGCTCTCCGCTCTCCCCTTGCCTCTCTCCCAGGCTTGTCTCCCCTCTTCTCCTGACTTCTTGCCTCACCCCGCAGGCACACCTGTTCCTAGACACTGCTTTCAGGGTGCCCACCGTCTCTTCTTCGGTGGCTTGCGCCATCTCTATTAAGCAGATGCCCCAAAGGCCTCGCACGTCTGCCAGCCTCCCTGGCTTTCTGCTGGAGCATCCCAGGTACTTGTGTAAAGGGGGGCCCAGCTCTTGGCTTCACCCTTGACCTTCAGCTTGTAACCAAATGGTTTGTTTATTGACCGAGTATGTGCTAAGGATGTTGACTGTTGGTGAGGCTGCTAGGATATCAACACTTTGGCTTACGCATAAAGCAGGGATTAAACAAGAAGAAAGAGACGCAAGGAAGGGGGGTAACCTTGTTACTCACCTACCCAGACCCCCAAAAGGCTTCGTTTGAAAACCACCACGGCAGGTTCTTTCCGAAGTCTTGTCTGATGCTGTTATCGTTGGGCCCTCGGCGATGTTTCCTGCTTGTAAATGAGTGATATCTTCTGTGAAGGCGAGTGCTACAGGTCACGTCTCTGGGCTCTTGGTCTCCTGGGGGTTCCAGGTGTGTGTTTTCTGGGTGGGTTTATGTTTGTGCGGGAGCCTCCGTTGCCTCCCCCCTGAAGACTGAGACGGAACTTTCCGTCATCAGCAAGCACCGTGCACACACTTGTTATGAATGTGATTGCACATACCAGCCAGGATGTTAAACACGCCATATTAAGAAAAGCGCCAGTGGTTTTCATTTGGGGCTTCTGATTGCACTTCGATATTGAACCCTTGAAGCGTTTGGACTTTATTAAACTCATTTATAATCATGACCAAATGAGTCTTTACAGATGCCCCAGATGTATTTGAAATTTCACAATTTCCATTTCACACCCTCAGTTTGGGTTCAAATCACTTTTTTGCTTAGTCAGCCATCATCTTTGTGGACGCTTATCTTTCCCTTTGGAGGTGTGAACAGAACCGTAGTTTGTGAGTTTGCTGCTGTTCGTTGCTGCTTCGGACTGAAAGGCCCTCCCCGTCTGCATGGGTGGTGCGGGTCAGTGTTACGGACTCAGAGTGGCATGCAGTTCGCGGCGGGAGGAGAGAATTATCTTGGGCCCGGCGTTCATGCTGGAGGCAGGCCTATGTCTGAGACGTGAGCCACCTGGGAGCCCAGAAAGCAAGTCCTGTTCCCCTAGAGCCGTGGTTCTCAACCTTCCTAATGCCGCGACCCTTTAATACAGTTCCTCATGTTGTGGTGACCCCCAATTTCATTGTTACAAATTGAACATAATTAAAGCATAGTGATTAATCACAAAAACAATATGTAATTATATATGTGTTTTCCGATGGTCTTAGGCGACCCCTGTGAAAGGGTCGTTCGACCCCCAAAGGGGTCGTGACCCACAGGTTGAGAACCATTGCCCTAGTGCCTTGCAGGTCTCTCACAAACCCGGAAAAGTCATCCCAGGCAAAAAGAAAAGACTTAAAAACAATGCAGTGAGAATGATGTAAACTGTGGACTTGGGTGATTACAATGTATCATTGTAGGTTCATCAGTTGTAACAAATGTACCCTCTGGTGATGGTGTTGACCAGGGGGCGGGGCTGTGCATGTGTGGGGACAGGGCGTATACACGGGAAATCTCTGTACCTTCCATGCAATTTTCCTGCGAACCTTAAACTGCTCTTAAAAAAATAAAGTCTCTAAAAAAATATTGCAGTCTAGTATGAGGGGCTTGATGAACCCTTGTGTTGAAGGCATGCGATGTATTTTTTTAGGGTCAAAATGCACACGGGTTTTGGTGTTCACACATGGAGCTCGTATTGCCAAGTCACGTGCTCTATGCCCTTAGGGACAGATGTAAAAGGAAAGTTGGATTCTTCAGGTGATTTTGAAATCAGCACAAAAACACTGCAGGATCGGAGCTTAAAAATCAAGCCTTAGGATGTTCCCTCAAACACGTTGGCCTGATTTGTCATCAACTTACCTTTAAGGGATTTTTTTGTTTGTTTCCATAAAGCAGATGAGCCTTTATAATACAGTTACGGGGGCATTAAGACTTTATTACTGTGTGTCGGTAGTTGGTATCAGAAAAGTCTATTCCAGAGGTCCTCAAACTTTTTAAACAGGGGGCCAGTTCACTGTCCCTCAGACATTCCACACATGCACACTGCGGGCCCGGGACGAGTCGGCTGCTAAGCAGGACAGGCAGCGGCAGCAAAAACACCCGGCGGGCGGGATAAATGTTTTTAGCGGGCCGCACGTGGCCCGCGGGCCGTAGTTTGAGGACCCCTGGTCTATTCCATTTCATCTGAGTTGAAGAAAAAGGGATAGTGGAACTAAGTAAAAGGAAGGAAACTGTTCAGCAACCACCTGTTGGCATATGTGTTGCCACCATGATCTGCCTCTTCCCACGAGTGTGGCTTCGGGGCCATCACCGGCCAGTGATGGTCAGAGCTTCCCTGAACATTCTTTCTGCCCTCAGCCCCAGGCCCCGATCTCTGCTGACTGCCTCACCCTCCAGACCACCTCCTCCTCTCCACCATCAGCCACAAATGTGGGCTTCCCCACGACTCGGCGGCTCGGAGTCCTCATTCACGGTGTTGCCTTCAGCTGTCAGCCACGTAGGTGCCTCCCAAACCCCGTCCGCAGTCCAAGCTGTCTTTACACCTCTACCTTGACCTTCCACTTGCTTGCCTGACACATCCACCAGCACATCCTCCTCCACTTGTCCAAATGGACCCCCGTGTACACCACACAGAGGATCGTTTCTCCCGCAACCCGTGTCCTTCCTGTGGACCGTGTTCCCAGGCTGCCAGTCCCCAGGTCCAGGTAAATTCTTTCTTACCTCCTGGTCTCTTCCCTTCATTTCCCACAACCTACCAGACCTCCCTTTACATTTAGGGTTCTTTCTCTTGCAAGTACAGAAAAGTCAGGTCAACAATGCGCAAACAATGCAACGCATGTATGATATGATCTTACGTGTTCAGGACTATTGACTTCTGCCATATGTATGAAGGCATAGATAGATGTGAAGAAAATGACATTTTAAAGGGTGTCTGGTGGTTCCCATACCTGAAAAGTCCGGAGGTGAGCGACGTGCCAGTGCGGAGATCTGACTTCTCTCTCCTGACTCTTCTACTCTCTCAGTTTCACCCTCTTAGGTCCATGATGGTGACAGCGTTGCCCAGGTGCCCTGGCTAATAACCTAGGGCCACCCTTGACTCCCCTTCCTTCACACCTCATATTTAATCCCTCAGCCCTTTTCTTCAAAATGTATTGCAAATCCAGCCAGGGAGAAACGCAGAAAAGGGAGCATCCGTCAGACTTGGTGACGTCAGAGAAAGGGAGTTGAGAAAAAGGTTAGCGATGATTCTCCCGGGGGAGGGGAGGAGAAATGGGGAGACCGGGGTTCCGTGGAGAGTTTGATGGGCGTGTGTACCAAATGCCTAGAGCCCGAATCCGCGTGCTGCCTGAAGAATGGCCCTCCTTAGACTGAGATAAAACTCGTGGACTTGATTCGTTTTTATACAACTTGAATGTGGATCCCACGAGAAGACTGTTTTCACTGTTACAAATGTGAAACCAATAATTTTCTTTTAACGTGCAAATATAATATGAGCTCCGTTTTTCCTTACTTTCCCTACAAAGCCAAGAAACAGTTCACTCGCCTTAGAGACTTTCACTGTCATTGTGTTCGGATGTGCCGTTACCGTTCATCATCCCTTCCAGCTAAGCAAGATTTAATTAAAGCCATCTCACACGGAGGCAGCCATTTATGCCTCTAAAAAAGCTCTCAGACATTCAGCTGCCAGTCTCCTGTTCTAAGCAAAGTTGAACTATTAAATTTAGTAGGTTCTCTCTGGGAGTCAGGATTTGCTACGCAGTGGCTTTAACCCCATTAATTTGGGATAACGGGGAACTTTTATGCATACCGTGTCTCTGTTTATTCATGGGGGATCTGTTCCAAACCCTGCAGGGGATACCTGAAACCTGGTAGCCCGGAACCCTACATGATGCATATGTTTTCTCCTATACACACACGGCTGTGATAAAGCTTCATTTACACATTAGGAATAGGAAGGGATGAACACAATAACGAAGACCAGCTATACCAGCGTAGTCTAATGAAAGTTATGAGGATGTGGCCTCTCGCAAACTCTCTTACTGTCCTGCACCCATCCTCCCTCTATATCTTCCTTCAGATCATCCGTTCTGAACCCCAGGTCTTTGGACAGGCCTCCCTCAGGGTCTTTCTCCCTCAGGTAACCCGCGTGGAAATGGGTCTCTGGAAACACACGAGCCTTCTCTCCATGTCCCTATGGGACTTCCGTGGAAGGTGGGGGGCTCCTAGGCAGGTGGGAAGGAGTATTTTGGGGTCGGGTGGGAAGGAGTATTTTGGGGTCGGTGGTGGGGCTTTGTGCTGCCTGTAGATTATACTGTGCAGGGAGGGCCTGGTTCTTCTTAGGAAAAAACATGGGTGTGAGATTTGGGGGCATATAGTAGAAATAGTGTTAGCTGGAGACGTACGATCGTGTGGCTGGGTTAGTGGGGATAGAAAGGACAAATACAGGAAACAAACTGTCCCTCCAAAGGGATTTGATAAATATGGGTTTTCTTAACGAATGACGAGCTGGATTAAGAAAAGGGGGAAAGAGAGATGAAAGACCCGGAATGTTTGAATGATTAAGTAGGGAATGAGAATGTTTCTCTTCCCTTTGAAACACTGTATCCATAAAACACGCCCGCGAGGCAGTAAAGCTCCCGCCAGCCTCTTCCTTTAGTAACTTCTCCTGGCTCCAGTGCATGAAGGATGGCTTTGCGCCTGGGGAGAGGCAGCGGGTGAGACTGATTTGTGCATCACGGCGCTGCCTTATGACTCATCCTTAGAGTGTGGCCGTGGACATGCTTTCAGCAGGAACACGTTTGAAAAGGCCCTGATCGAGGGCCGGTAGGAGCTGGCACATTGGGTGCTGCCCAGGCAGCGGGGGGTGGGGTGGGGGGGGTGTTGGGAGGCTCCCTCCCACCCCCTTCTGCACCAATGTGCATGGCAGGCAGTGAATAAGAACCCCTCATCCAGGGCATCTCTGCTCTAAAGTGACGCTCTTTTAAGAGCTCTTCAATTGTCGTGTTCCTATAGGTGGTTCCCTCATAGGTCCAGCTCTGCCTCCTCAATGCCTGGCCTGCATTTTCTTTTTATTAAATGTACTGTTACAATGCATTGGATTATGGCAACCCTAAAAGATAACTATTTAAAGAGAAAGCAATCCACCCTATCCTACTTCCCAGGCTCTGCATACCCATATCTTCACCCTCTGGGCTTCATCCATCTCTCTCTCTCTCTCTCTCTCTCTCTCTCTCTCTCTCTCTCTCTCTCTCTCTCTTAGTATATGTCTGTGTGGCCAGCAGGCAGAAACAAGAAGGCGTGAGGGTGTTCCCCAGCCTTTCTTCATTGCAAAGGGCTGGTCCCCATAAACTGGGTTGTGTCTTCATGAGTGTCCCAGTTCAGAATTTTGCTCAGGAAGTTCTGTAGCCCACATTTGGGGGTATCCATGTATTATTTATAGTTATAAACGCTCTGTAGTTTATGTCACCTACAGGTTGTGACATTTATAAACATGTACATGAGTGTGAGTGTGTAGGTATACAGTGCAAAGTAATTTAAATTTCAATCCTTGGTTTATACCTTGAGACACTGTGTGCCAGTGTCTCTGGCTCTCTTGTCCTCAGCTGCAAACAGCGGGCATCGCGGTTTGGGAATCCCCAGCCGGGTCAGGGCTGGCGTCCTATGATTCTGTTATCTGCGAGTCTCATCGATACCAAATGTGGCTGAGTCCTGAATGAAATGTCTGGTTGATGTCTGAGGTTCTGGCTGCACTGAAATTAAATGGACTCCTAGCAGTACGTAGCCCGTGTCGGACGCTTGTATATACTAAATCCAGGCTATTCTAACTCTCACTTTCTTTTCTCTCCCCAGTTTGCTGTTTTGTGGTTCACAAGAGGTGCCATGAATTCGTTACTTTTTCTTGTCCGGGTGCGGACAAGGGACCCGACACCGATGTAAGTAACCTGGGAACTATTGCTCGATGTCCATGCGATTTCCAAGTTGAATGTTTTTAATGCCTGTACAGTTGTTGTGGGGGCCCATCCTCCCGATGGGAAGACTCTCCAGTCAGTCTCGTGCTGTTTGCCTTGTGCTAATGAACAGATGTGCGGTCCTTCTGAGCCCGGTTTGGACCACGTGGGGATCGGAGGAGAATTTCGTCCTCCCCTCTGGGCAGCCACATGGACTAACTCCACCAAATGTATAGCAGTAGCTTCCCCGAACACAATGCGGTTTTTCCCGAAGATGCATTATACACATACAGTTTCCGCGAATCGCCCTTCTGGTTACTGATGGGCCTGTCATTGCTTTTGGCCCACGTAACACACTATTTCTGGTTCTTTTCGTGAGAGCCTTGCTGCCTTTCACGACGGGTTACAAATGCTCCTGTTGATTTAAAGAAGTTCGCATCTGCCGGGGGTGAACCCGCCATGGTGTTGATCTGCCTTGTGCGTCTGCCTGTCTCCAGGGAGCACCTCTGCGGCAGCGTCTGTGCGCCCAAGACAGGATCAGCCGAGGAGAGCGGGGCATCAGAAACAGGGTGGGGCAAAGTAGGTTTGCAGTTGTTCGTGTGGAAAATAATGCAATAGTGAATAAATAACACGACAAGAATAAACTCTGTTTCACATACAACTATAAGCCTCCTTTACACCGCCCCCTGCCCCCACCGCCGCCCCCCATATATGGAGCGGAAAGAGCCTTGGGCTGTTACACGGAAAGTAATATTGTAACTGAAGAAAACAATGTTGCGTGGGAGGCCTGACGTGTAGGCCGTTCTACTCTGAATTGCCTTCCCCGGGTCACTGTAGTCACTGATGCTTACATGACGTGCTCTAAGGGATTCTACCCGTGGCTTTGGTGCCCGCCAGGAAACTGATTTCCCCGGGGCACGTGCGGTGGGGGCAGGGCTGGGTTCTCCCCTTCCCAGAAGAAGGCGAGTTCATGGGCGCTCTGAGCAGCTCGGCATGGCATGTTTTAGTACATGTACTGAAGGGCCTTACCGTGAGCCCCTCAGCGTGTGGGAACCTGCTGTGTTCGGTGAGGATGCGGGTGGAGGCAGCACAGCGTGGGTGCCCGGCTAGGAGCCACCACCGTCCCCGCAAGGCCTCTCAGAACGCGGGAGCCAGAGGTGACCTCCGAGTTGATCTTGTTGTATGTCCTCGTGGGCCAGGACATGTTGAATGACTTGCCTTCATACAGAAAACTATGGAGTGTCACGGCCCTACCTTTCCCATGCTTCCCATCCATGCCCCCATTTGGGGCACTTTTTTATAAAATGGGTGCAAATGAAGAGCAGCAGCTTTTCTGAAAGTTGGCCTGAGGCATCATGAGGTGGTCCTGTCACCTTCTTGCTCATTATTCTCAACTCCATCTCCCATTGCTCATTTGTCTCTGTCTCTTCTCATTCCAGCCCCATCAAGAATTGGGGTTTGGGGAGGGAGTGCAAGCTATAGGGCTCTACACAGCTTTTGCCTGACCCCCTTTCTCCTGCTCCTTCCTCCTTCCCTCTTCATTCTTTTGGTTAAATACACCTTATTGAGAACTTAATACGGGGGAAGATAGAGATTAAATTATCACTAATTAAAATAGGATGCAGGTGCATCTACCTGAGGGTCCTACTCTAGGTAGTAAGAAGGCTTCCCCCAAGGAAATGGTATTGAAGCCAAGCTCCCAGGGTAAGTAGGAGATGGGCAGCAAAAGGGAGTGTGCATGCGTGCGTGCTAGAGCCTAAGGAGCCTTGCAGAATCCTGTTTCTGATAAAGGGAAGATCAAGTGGGAACTCCCTGGAGTGGGGAGGAGTTCCCGTACATGAAAGAACCCAGCGGCTGGGCGTCACATGCCTGGTTAGCATTTTGAACACAGTCTCGGGAACAGTGGGGACCCAGGGAGAGGTTTTAACCTAGGAATGACAGGATCCTGTTTGCATCCTATGAAGGTGGCTCTGGTTGCCTGTAGAAGATGAGCGGGGTAGGAAGTGAGCTTGATGTGCAGGTGACAGTGGGGAAGCATCCGTGGATGGAGAACCAGCACAGAGGCCCCTGCTCTCAGGGCAAGAAGACAGAGCTTGGAGTTGGCGGAGGCAACAGGGAGGGACAAGTGAACCCACTCAGGATGCCGAATCAGCACTTCTTGGCCCTTGTGGGATCAGGGAGATGGAGCTGTTGAAAAAGACTTCCGGGTTTCTGGCCCAAAGGGAGAGCCTATTTGGGGCCCATGGGTAAAGCCGATCAAGGGAATGACCTTGGACATGTTTCGTCTGAGAAGTAGGACATCTAGAGGACAGTTGTGTGTGAGTGTAGGAGTGGAGGTGAGCAGTGGGGTGAGTCCTGAAGATGAAGATTTTTTTTTTAAGCATCATCTGTGCGCCTTAAGAGAGGAAAGCTGCAAATTGGCCCTTTCAGAGAATCATACCAATGTCAGTCCTGCTCTTAAAGCCATAATGTGCATACACACGCATACACACACACACACACACACACACACACACATTGCCATGAAGCAAAAGTAATATCTGTGAAGCTGGACACTGTGGAGGGCTGCACATCCGGAAAGCAAAATTGCTTTCTGTTCTTCACGACAGTCTTGAGGATTCTCTGCTCTCAAGTTCTTTTTGGTGTCTTAGAAACGAATTGAATTTAAAAAAATAATAATACGTAAAGGCTGCTAAATTGTTTAAAATTCAACATTTCAAAGCTTCGTTTATAACAAAACTCAAAACATTTAAAACAAACCTGGAAATAATTTTAATTAGCAAATCTATTTTCTCAGAGTGTGCTCTTACCTTTACTATGGAAATAAGACCAGTTTTGTGAGCAAACCCAATTACACCCAAAAGGTTTTTATACTCTTGAACTGACAAAGTAAAGCGAGACTTGTAAAAGGTGCAGGTGCTAAAAAACGTGGCCTTTGCAGTGCAGCAGAGGGAGCTCAGGAGGGCCCTGGCGTGGGAACTGGGTGTTCTGTCCTCCCAGGTAGGTCACTACAAACCTCCCCAGGCCTCGCTTTGCTTTGCTTTTCTTTTAATAAATATGGAGGATGAACTCAGTGGTCTTTAAAGTTGTTCTCCGCCCTCAATTCCATTCCATCACTTAGTAGTTATTAAGGACTTCATGCTGTGAAGATGTGAAGGTGAAGACAGTTTCATTCCCGCCCTCCCAATACATTCTCTTATATCACAAGGATGAGCGAAGCAGGCAAATAATTATGATTGCATTTGGCCTGGCCAGCATGGCTCAGTGGTTGAATATCGACCTATGAACCAGGAGGTCACGTTTCCATTCTGGGTCAGAGCACATGTCCGGGTTGTGGGCTCAATGCCCAGTGGGGGGCATGCAGGAGGCAGCTGATCAATGATTCTTCTCTCTCATCATTGCTATTTCTCTCTCTCTCTCTTCCTCTCTCTGAAATCAATAAGGACATCCTTTAAAAGGAGTTTGAATTTGCTAGCTGCATATGTGGCGAAGAAATAAAATGCTCTTGAGTTGGAGGGAGAGAGAGCATCTAATGGGAGAATGAGAATGCGGGAAGGCTTTCTGAAGGTGGTGACATGTTAAAATGGATTATAGTTCTTTTCAAAATTTTCTTTTACAAACAAATAGACCAGTGTTTTCGTGTTTCCCCTGCTTAAGGGAGTTACATCTCTCGGCAAATGCTGTTGATCCAGTGGCACACAAACTCAGGTGACACATACAGGTTGTCCCCCAAAATGTATGTGCACTTTAGAAGCTGATGGTTCAATTTTGAAAATGAACTGTATTTTAATAAACACTGCCTTTATACTTATTCAGGCTGTGTGTGTGTGCATTTTTTGCAAGAAGCCCTGTGGGAAGAACACCTGGGAGAGAAACCGCGAGAAACCGCAGTCCTCTGGGCTCCCCCCAGGGGCACCTCCGCGGACGCCCTCGCCAGGTCCCGAAACCACCCCGGCGCTCGCCCACCAGTACCACTCCTCACGGGCTGCGGCGCCACGGGAAACCTTAAAAACAAGCTATTTCAGGGAAATAAGCCTAACAAAATCTCCTGTGCTAATTCCGTCCCCCGAGGGTGGGCTCTTGTATGCACCAGATTCGCAGCAGCAGAAGCATTTCCCACAAGGGGAAGGGACTCCTGCTACTTTTGCACCAAATTAATTTAGCTTGGAATTAAAAATAGCCCCAACGACGTGCCCCCCTCGTCCGCCGCAGTGCTGACAATGCGCCTGGGGAGACAGCCGGGCAGTGGAGCGTCCCTTCACCCGCTCCCAAGTTTTAGCCGGTGAGAAGTGTGTGCGGTTGATGACAGGGGCTTCAGAGTTTAGCCAAAGGCCTGCTTTCACGGGGCCCTGGGGGCTTTTCAGCTCAGTCCCACAGTTGAGGTTGTCACTGCGCAAACATCTTTGGAACTCCGCTCTTAGAATAGCACGGAAGGCCGGGAGCACATTCTTTTCAAAACCTCCCTCTTGGCAAATTGTCAGCCTTTGAGAGCGTGGGGATTGTTTGGGGAAAGCAGGCAAAAGTCGGGCGGAGCCAGATCTGGAAAAGGGGCGTGAGTAGGTGGGCAGTGCTGTCGTGGGTCCAAGAGGAGGTCAGAGGATTTGGCAGGAGGTGATTTTTCTCGTGAAAGTTATGAACTGTCTCTGACATCAGGTTTGAAAGGGAGTTTTGTGCATGAAGCGTGCAGAGCACACAGGAACCCTCCAGTAGCCTTCAGGCCCTTTCAGTTAATGCCTGTGTGTTTTCTTAAGTAGTTGCATTGCTTAATGATGACACGTGTGCAGTGGATGCTCCGTGAGCAGATCCTGTCTTTTCCCTTTAAAAGCAAAGAGCCCAGCCCATCGCCTGGCACAGAATGGACGCTAGAAACATATGGTTGAACCAAAGAGAACGAGCGGATGAAGGTCTGATAACCTAATTTGATCGCCCGCTATTTTCATCTGGACTCCAGTTACTTGAGTAGTTTTCGCTGCACCTGAGATGTC